TTTAAGTCAGGGGTCTGGAACTTAAATCATTTAACTTTTAAATGCGTTTCAGCTTTGACACATCTGACTTCAAATTGGCCCCATTAGCAGAACTTTACTGCTTCTTAGGAGGTAGTTAAGGTGTTTATAGCAAGGGTTACATCTAAGAGTAGCAGAAAATATTTGATACTCGATACCTTTTTCAATACCACTTGGATAAAAAGGACAAATAGTTAAAGGCATGAAAAACAAATGAACTGGGAAGGCTCACCTTTTTCAATCTCCCCACGGAGAAACGCCTTCTCAAGAGAATCACAGACCGAAGTTCAATGAATATCCCAGAAATGTAGAAAAGCAATAGCAATTGTATTATGGATACATTCCTAATGAGTTTTGTATCCAGGTACAGCGCTACAGTATCGCTCAATTTTGACATTAATTAACAGGCCCCTCCATACATCACTTAAATGTTGATCCCTTGTTCTTTCTTTGGATCCTAAAATCCAGTTCAAAACTAATGGTGACCTATCTCTGTGTGGGCGAATGTTGATTCTTTAAAAAATGTATAATTACTTTTTTTCCCCCGACAAGCTGTTAATGATACCATCTCATTGTTTTTATTATTTCTACATTCTTTGTTTGATATTTATATTATATTCAGACTTATTTAACTTGCAGTCTGTGAAGCACATTGTGGTTTTATCTGTGCTATATAAACAGTGCTGTATAAGTGCAGTTTATTTAAATATTGCTGACTTTACCCTCTGCTTTGTTTCCCCAGGTTTGGCATGCCGTCCGATTCTTCTAGCCCGTCCCCAGGTATGTCGCTGTGAACACTAGATGTAACAAATGATATGGCAAACCTTCAGCAATTTAATTTTACTCAGAAATCGTTAAAAGTAAATAGTTATTTGAGGTCTCATAGACACATTGGAAATTATTAGGGCTAAAACAATCAATTTGATTAATTAATAAATTAATAAATAATTAATTAATGTTTATTTGATGATTGAAATAATAGTCAAATAATTTAGTAATTGGTTAATTGGAGTATAGAGACTCTGTATAGAGATTATGCCTTTAGCTGACAAAGTGACCCCATCACAGGAGAAATTGTACCAAAAAAGTATCAAAAAAAGGGGAAAAAAATTATAATAAACATTTAAAATATATTTGTGTACGAAAGACAAATTTTGCCTTTAAGAAAAAATTACCTTTTGGTCCGTCTATATCTTCTATCCAGAAGTTACCAAATGTTTCACCTGGTTTAAAGTCTGTGATCTTTAATGAATGTTTTGCTACCTGATTACTGATTAATGTATTGAAATAAACAATGAACAGATTGATTGATTAGTAAAATGGTAATTAGTTGCAGTGCTGGAAAAATATTTCCTTAAACATGCATAAATCTGTTCATAAGGAACCAAATCACAACAGACATCAGAGAAAGCAGTGCTCTTCAACCCTGTGCTTTAAGGTACGCTGCCCTGGATGTTATAGAGCTTTCCTTACTTCCACTACTCCTGTGTGATTAACAGGCCCTTTGCTGAACAAACATCTAATTCTGATGTACTAAAGAAAGAAAAACATTGAGCACCTTTAGGAGCAGACTTAAAAAACATAAAATCAATTTTTTCCTCCAACTTTTATTGTCATACTGTCCCAAGTACAGAGCAACAAAATTAACTCTCTGCATTTAACCCATCCCCTTGGGGAGCCGTGTGGGGTTAAGGATCTTTGCTCGGAGACCCAGAGTGCAGGCAAACCCTATTTTTCAGTTCTTGTACTTAATGCTGTAATATTTTGGATCATAGGAGAAATGCAGACTCTTTGTATATGCCCTTTAATTTGTGTCTTTAAATAATTAAAAAATAGTGGATAATTTTCAGTGTCTTGATCTTTTTAATAGTTTGTAATAAACCTTATTGTGTCTAATTTGCATTCTGGAGAAGGAGAGGGATCTTTTTTTTTTTCAGCTTCTCTCCAGTGAATTTGTGCTATAAAATGACAACATCTGCACTTTTCATAATGTATAATTATTATTTGTGTTTTTTTCTGAACAGGCGTTGTTGCAAACAGCAAAACTGGCGTAAGTTTTTCACAAGCATCCTCCTGCTTCAGCTTATCATTGAGGCTCCAGCTGATGCAGAGATGACGTTTGGTTGATGGCTTTTTTTGTCTAATTTAGGTGAGCGCTGACCTGCTGAAGAAGCGAGCAGAAAGATTCGGCATGAACGTTTCCTCAGTTTCACAAAAGGTGATAAAGTTTGTTCCTGGAAAAACTCCCATTTCAGTTTTCAACACTCAACTTTGGCATACACAGCAGATCTTTTGTTTTTAAGGACACCGTCAGGAGATATTTTATATTTTTTTTCACTTCAATATTCACAATTATTCTGGATCTTTAAAAAATAAATAAATCTGTTGGAGAATAATGCTTGAAAATGTTAAAAGCTTAGTTAACCTGCCTGCATGCTTCTCAAACAGTACTTTTGAGCAAGTTTTCATGGATTCATGCCTTTTATTATACATTTAAAACCCTGTTTCTTTTTTACTTAGATTGTGGAGGATGAAAAGCTGAAAAAGAGAAAGGAGAGGTTTGGGATCTTAACGAGCGCCCCGTCAGTTGGAGGAGAGGACGTTGAGGTAGAGTTTGGTTTTTCATCTGTAGCCTTTAGAAAAATTCATGAAGCAATCTGCTTATTAATGCCACCACTCCTGGGATTTTTTTTCTGCAGGCAAAGAAGATGAAGCGTGCAGAGAGATTTGGAAATGTTTAAAAAGATGATTGTCTTTTTTTTTTTCTTTTCTTTTTTTTGTAGTGTTTTGTTTAAGGCTGTACAACCGATAAAGTCTCAACGACTGGAATTTTATCAATCAAAGGTACACTTAAATGCAAGGTCATATCTGAGAGGTGGATTCTGGAAATGACTGTTTTCCCAGAAGGCTAAAAGCTAATACTGTATTTATCTGTTTTTACTCGCTATAAAATTTTGATGCATAGACCAACTTCTTTTGTTTCTTTTAAACTAATCTATAAAATTATGCAGCAATAAACATTTTATTTCCTGCAGCTTTTTCATGTTAAGAACTGGTTATATTTCTTTGACCCAAGCCAATTAATAATTTAAAAAAAGTGCTGCATAGAAGTTGAGCGATGATAGTGGCCTCAGATTAGGAAAAGTTCTGTTAAAGGTTGTTTTCAGGTTCAGTTTTTGGCCACATTAAGACATTATTTCATTACTCTGAAAGACAGTTGCAGGATTTTTTTTTATGACATCATCCAATGTAGCTAAACAGCAAATGGTTCATTTGAAAAATGTTCTTTTGTTCATGGCTTGAAAAATCAGTTTTCTGGTTGTTTACTAAATTTCAGGTGACAAGATGTTTCCTTGTATGTTTATTTTGTTTTAATTTACTTGTACTTTTGATTTAGCACACAGCCTTTTAATTCTTTGTCATGGAGGAGGCACCATGATACTACTTCAGGTTATCTGTCCATTTTATAACATTTTGAAATTTAAAATAAATTGTTTTGAATTTTTGGAATCTTCTGTCTTGTTTTCTATTTTTTCCTCTTGAATTGAAATAACCCACTCTTTGTTGGGGAATTGTTTTTATTCAGCCATGTAAGATCAAACACAGCATCTCAATTGGAATTTAAGCCAGACATTGATTAGCCATTTCAAAATTCATGTCTAACCTTATACATGTGAAATAACTGGTATTCTGTCATTTCTCTCCTCTATCCCACTAGGCTTGAGCTCACAAACTGGTGGTTATTCTGCTAAGGGCCTGCTCTGAAACATTCTTAAATATTTTAACAAACTTTCATATTTAATATGTGTTGATAATGACTGATTAATTATTGCGACACTTTTTAAAAATGTACATTAACAATCCTGAAGATGCAATAGTGCAATAGAATCATGTGATATTCTTTGAAAATTTGGTTAAAGGAAAATTTCTAGTGACTCAGCCAAAAAGACCTCTACCTCCAATTTGCCCTCCATCTCTGTTGCTGATGCTAAATAACTTTCAATCTGAAACCTCGGACATCATTGTCTCAATTGCTCCAGTTAAAGACAACTTTGTTTCTAAGAAGAAACATCTCCATGGAGAAGTACCCTACTAGCTAGAATTGAACAAAGAAAAAGTTGAAAAGCTGAACACAAAAGGCTGGACTCCCGGTTCATTGTAACATCTATAAAAGAGACGCCAGGTATCTTAAAGCTGAAAATACTAGAGAATATTTACTGTTTGAGATCATAATAAGGGTTTTTCTGTTTACAATACTGGTGTTTCCTGGACACCTGACGCCAAAGCTAAGGTTTTATAATCCATTCCATAATGGATGTCAAAGATGTTTCTCATCTGCTTTTGGATTGATTGGTTTTGGACACTATATTCTCTTTTAAGATTAGATAAAGCTATTTTAAAAGGTCTCAATTTATTTGACTTCTTAATTTCACCTGTCAGACTATGAAAAGGCTAGCATTTGGTTAGGGAAACTAAATAAAACCATGTCAACACAGTTAATCCACTATTTATTGTATTGAATTATTTTTTTAAATGAGCCCAGGATGGAAATCCTCTGAAAACTTTTTTTTTTTTTTTTACGCAAAATACCCTATGGGACCTTGACCTTAAAATGTTTGTGAAAGATTAATGTGACAAAAAAATTATTCAAAAACATTTAGGAGGCAAAAACTCTTTAATAGCAAAGCTTTTAGGTGTTTTGTAGCCTGATACCTCTGTGCTTCTTTTGAATGTCAGATTCTGTTTGTTAAATAGAATAATGAATATAACATATGAGCACACCAAATAATAATAATGCGTTTTTATTATATTTTCAAGAAATTAATATAAGATAAACATGCACTTTATAGTGTTAAACATCATTTACCTTTTAAGGTATGTTTTACAAGGCTATAAATTGAAAATCAAGGCGGTTAACAGAGACACCTGCTGTTCATCAGTGGGACTGCACCCCTCCCCTGGTGTGTGACGTATGTTCCTGTGACGCGGAGAAATTTTAAACTCTCGTCCTTCTCAGTGATGGCGGCTTCGTTTCGTTCTCTCCCTTCAACCTGTAATAACAAATGGTACTACACCCGCCAGCAGATCGAAAACAGCCCATCTCGGCGAGCTGGACTTGATCCCGACAAGGAGCTGTCCTACAGACAACAGGCAGCGAACCTCCTCCAGGACATGGGGCAGCGGCTCAATGTGTATCTTTTGTCGTAGTGCGTCGCACGTAGCGAACATTAGCGTTAGCTCGACTGCTAGCAAAGTATAGCTTCTCCCGAAGCCGGTACCACCAATAATTTGGTCATTTTATGTAGTTGTTATGGTGTTCTTGACGAAGCTTCCTCTTTGTTTGTATGTTTCATGTCTGTATAACATCTACACTGTGGATTTTAATCGACTACCGGCTTGTTAATGTTTCCCGACAACAGCCGAACATGCTAACCGCAGCTAGCATGGCCTGTGTGATCCACAGGCCTCCAGAAGGTTAGCTTTAGCTTTGTCTCTTTAAGTGTTAGTCATTCGAAAGAAGGAAAAACAGTGGAGGTAACCTTATAATATCCATAAAAATCGTTTTAAATGGACTGTCTTTAACAACTTAGTAATAACTTATGTGAGCTGTGATTTAGGTCTGAGCTGTATTGCTTAATGTTCTAGCAATCGGCTGACGGTAATTAGCTTTGTTTGTGTTTTCAAGTTCTTCCTATCTCGGAATATATTCTTAGCCGTCGTTAAAACTAATTTCAGCCTATTTCAAGAAGCTGACATTACACTTTCAAAGTAAACAGATATAGTATTTTTAAAGGCTGGTATTATAGAGTGGTTTATGTTAGATTAAAGGCTATGGGAGCTTTAACTTAAATATAAAAGGGATGATGTGTAATAAACTGTATAAGAGACAAACCCTATTTTGTCTAAATTGTTTGCATTGTTTTTGTGTTCAGTTGTCCTTAACTGTCTTGTCTCAGATCACAACTAACTATTAATACAGCTATTGTCTATATGCATCGGTTTTACATGGTCCAGTCATTTACAAGGTTTCACCGAAATGTAAGTATTGTCTTTTTCTTTTTATGTGTTCGGCTAATACTAAAGTAAATCTGATGAGCTTAAAATTTGTTCTTTCTTTAGGTTATTGCTCCGGCTGCCCTTTTCCTCGCAGCAAAGGTTGAGGAGCAGCCCAGAAAGTTGGAGCATGTAATCAAGGTGGCACACGCATGTTTAAACCCTCAGGAGCCTTCACCAGACATACGCAGTGATGTAAGTGTCGGCTGACCACGTAGCTAAACTGGAAATCCACAAAAAATAGTCTGTGAACATATTTGTTTTAATTCGGCTCAAAAATGTCTCTTTGTAATTTGTCTGCAAACTTTAATAATGACGCACAAGGCCTTTCTCGCTTTAAATTTCAGCAATCTCATTGAAATTCTAAATTTGTTTCCCCAATTCTATGGTACTTTTATCTTTTATTCCTGCCTCAGGTTAAAGAAGAGAATAAATCTGAGGTCTTATTTACAGAATTTAAGTATTTTTATTTGGGAGCGTTGGACAAATTTCTTGCCCAATCATATCTAGGAGGCTTGATGCATGGGTTGGGAGAGAAGAGTGAAAACAGAACTCTACAAGTTTCGGTTGCCCAGGTATTGTGATGTCTAGCAGATGTAAAACAAGAGTATCCGTTTGTGCTATGTGGTGGTAATTATGTAGTCTGCAAGGCATCCTCAGGATAACGAGAAAGACGAGTTGTAGGACGGGGCACCGCGTCGAGTGCTTATTGCCCGATCCTTGGTTTAAATGATTGAAGCCTTTCAGATAAACAGGCTAACATCTAAAAACCACAAAGCATGTTCTGTACCTCTTGTTTGACATCAATTAGAGGCCTCCCAGTGAGTAACATGCCTGTCCTCTCAACCTCAGGCTTACCTGCAACAAGCCCAAGACCTGGTCATTCTTGAGAGCATAATTCTCCAGACCCTGGGTAAGTTTAGAGGAAAACAAAAAAAAAAAAAGAAAACAACTGGGTCCCTTTGTTTCTCTCCAGAAACGTGTGTAGACTGTAAAGCTAACCTTCTTGACTTATGTTCACAGAAACGAAATGTGGTTAGCAGCACTGGAAAGAGACTTTTATGTCAAAAGGAACCACATCATTGTTAAATGACTGAAACCAGCTCCTTATTTCTCTTGTTCTCACACGAAGGGCCGCTTTTTCCCCACACATTACTTCAAATTTGAGATGGGATTAATAAAACAAATTTTCTGAATTTTCAGGGACTTTAATGTTACGTTTCGGGTGGAAGCTGGATTTAATGAAGGGTTCATGTGTTCATATTCCATATTCTGTGCTCACTTTACTGAACTCTTCCACCCTTTGTCACCTTTTCATTCCAGCTTTTGAAATCACAATTGATCACCCTCACACTCATGTTGTCAAGTGCACTCAGCTTGTTAGAGGTGAGTATCATATTTAAAGCTATGGATCAGGGGTCTGCAACCTGTGGCTCTTTGGACCAAATGCGCTGGCACTTATTAACTTAAGAAGTCATAATGCTTTTAGATACAGATAGGCTACTAAAACCCCATATTTATTGTTCTTTCAGCTTTACATTCATGTGGTTTTCACTGTCCAGTAAAAGAAAAACAAATGTATTAATCTTTTTTTAATATTTTTCTTCCATTTTAAAACCTAAAGTAAGAATTAAAATGTTGTTTTTATAATTGAAAAAGATTTTCCTAAAGTATTACTATATTAAAATATACCCTCCGTTAAAAAAATTTACATTATGGAAGAAAGAGTCAGAATTCAAATTTTTCTCTTTCGTTGAGCAAAATACTCTTCCGTACTTTAAATAGTGTGGCTTTAAAAGATTTTCCTCAGCTGGATTCGGGGCAGAAATGCCCCTTTGGATTGTAAAGGTTGCAGACCCCTGCTATAAATGTTTGTGGGAGAGCTTACATTCTTATTTTGACAGTAAACGGTTTTACCAGGTTTAAGTGTATTTTTGTTTTTCCTTTCTGTTATTCCAGCCAGTAAGGATCTGGCCCAAACATCATACTTCATGGCCACAAACAGGTATATGAACACTTAAATGCGAAAGCTTAATTTACAGTGCCTTTAATTCATGCCTCTGTGACCTTTTGGTCGCATACAAACAAACTTTAATGTTAGTTACTGGGATTTTATATAATAGAATAAGTGGTGCTTTTCTATAAATGATCCATAACTTTTAGTAGTGTGTCAAAATTCCCGATCAAAAAATTCAGTTGAACAAGTATTTGTTGTCTGCCATGGGAAAATCTGTTTTGGGCAAAAGCACTGAATTACATATCAAATCAAAATGAATTGTTTCGTTGTCAAATATCAATTTAAAAACAGTTCAATAATGTCATAAAATAAAGCATTAAAAAAAGAGGAAGTAGGCAACAGTATTAGATTTAAAGGTTTAAAGACAATGAACTAACCTGTCTACTGAAACTAAACCTAAAACCAGAATATCTCTGGGGAAGTGGTAGCAGTGACTGTCCTGCTTTCATTTAATTGAATAACAATGTTTTATTTATATATATATATATATATATATATATATATATATATATATATATATAGCTATAGCAAAGGGAACTTAAACAAAAACAGATTCAGGGAGGGACATTATAAAAGTCAACATACTGTGTGTTTGGTCTATTGTGTGAAATCCCAGTGACGTGCGTTCAAAGTTTTTGGGTTTCAATGTGAAAAAATTTCTGTAGATGTGCTCCAAGTATTCTGCCATTTAGATTATGCAGTTTTGATTTTACTTTTGTGTTAAAAAAAATTTTTTTTTCTCTTTTTCTCCCTCTGATTTTTGTTCCTCTTCTGGATATATGATGCCACCCAGTCTACACTTGACAACATTTTGCCTGCAGTATAGTCCGCCTATTGTCGCTTGTGTGTGCATCCATCTTGCCTGCAAATGGTCCAACTGGGAAATCCCCGTCTCTACGGATGGAAAACACTGGTGGGAGTATGTCGATCCCACAGTTACCCTGGAGCTGCTGGACGGTATGTGTTGGAATCTTATCCTGTTCTGTTTGTCATCCAATAAAGGGCAGATTAGGTTCAAAGACGGACGTGTGTATATATATATATATATATATATATATATATATATATATATATATATATATATATATATATATATATTAGTGCTGTCAATCGATTAAATTTTTTTAATCGCGATTAATCGCATCAATGCCTGAGTTAACTCGCGATTAATCGCATTTTAATCGCACATTTTTTTCCTGATTGAAAATCATTTAAATACTCTCGATGACATACAAAAAAATACATACAGGCTAGGTTTGTGCCAATGTTCTTTTTTTAAAATGAAAACAGGTCACAGATACTGATTTATGCCAAAAATAACAAATACGTAGGCAAAAAAAGGCCCTGAAAACAGGCTGATGTAAAAGACAGTCTTTACAGTTAATACAGTCTTTTGAACAAAGACAAGCATTTTACCCTACTGCTATAAAATTTAGTAGAGTTAACATTAGATGTTAATTAACCAAGGTAATAATGAACAATTTTCAATCAATACATCAAAATCAATAGACCGTCATCACTAGATGGAGGTAGTCTATACTCTAGAAAGTTACTTTTCAGCCTCTTAACAAAAATGAGAACACACACACACACCCACTCACCCACACATACACACACACACGATACCGATCTGTTGCGTACACAGACGGCAAGAGTGCCGTAGCAGGTTCCATTTCACCTCAGTAATCTGTTTTCTCAGCGTATTTCAGGTTGCTACTAGTTACCAGACACTTTACTTGTTTGTTGGTGGTGGGGCTTAAAGAAAAGGCACTAGCGTCACCCAGTGTATGAGCGTCTTTTTTCCTTGAGGAGCTCCGCTCTCGAAGCCTATGAGAAATGCATGGACTGGGGGGAAATAGCCCCGCCTTCCCGCAAGCTGCAGCGGGATGTACTTGGAAAATTGTACCATAAAACCACATAGTGTTAATCTCACGTTAAAAAAATTATCGCCGTTAAAATGGCCTTGCGTTAACGCGATAATAACGCGATAATTTTGACAGCACTAATATATATATATATATATATATATATATATATATATATATATATATATATATATATATATATACACAAAACATAATTGTTATAACGGAACTGTCTGTTTCTTAACTTGGTTTTTTAGATTTCTAAACTTAATGTTTTGCAGAGCTAACCCATGAGTTTCTTCAAATCCTGGAGAAAACACCCAGCCGTCTGAAACGAATTAGAAACTGGAAGGTATTTTTGCCTTTTTTTTTTTTTTTCTCAACGCATTTTCTATTAGCTTTTCTGCAATTTAACTTTTATTTACAATTTTGTTCTTTCTTTCCCTCCTCTCCTTCACCTGTAGGCTGGTGGTCAAACGCCAAAAGCTAAGCCTAAAGTCCAGGAGGAGGGAGACCAAAGGGACACCATGATCAGCATGATCTCCATGGTGTCGCCAGAAAGTACCGTGGCCGGCTTGATGAGTCTCTCAGCTCCGCCCTCTGCCTCCTCTTCCTCGTCCGTGGGTGACAAGGACCGGGCGGTACCAGGCAGTGCTGCGACGTGGAGCGGAAAAGGTCAGGTTGGAACTGAGCCACAACAGCCACCCAACAATGAGGTCCACACCCCAGCCAAGGTTTCACTGAGTGAATATCGGGCCAAGAACGCTGACGTCCTGGCTGCCCAAAAGAGGAAGCTGGAGAACATGGAGGCCAGTGTAAAGAGAGAGTATGCCAATGCAGCTCAGGCTCTCATTGGTCAGCAGAGGAAGCATCATCACCAGCAGTCCAGCTCCTCCTCTTCCTCTGACATCAACCCCTCACCTATAGTTCTGAAAATCCCTTTGGAGAAGGAGCGCTCCGACAAACATTTGAAAATGCGTTTTCCGATGCCGGTAGGCGGCAGCAGCGGGCATGGCGATAGAGGCCAGGATCCAGACATTAAAGTCAAAATCCGAGTGCCGGAGAAGCCAAGGGGGGGTTTGGGAGAGGAGGGCAAAAGCAGGGACAAGCACAGGGACCGGTCTAATCATCATCATCACCAACACCATCAACACCATCATTCCTCTTCACACAAACATTCATCCAGCTCCAGTGGTTCACTGGGAAGCAGCAAAAAGATCCCAAGTGACTCCTCTAGATCAAGTTCTTCATCCTCTTCCAGCTCCAGAAAGAGGACACATTCCCAAGATCCATTAGCAGGATCCCACCCTGCCTCTAAGGTTAGCAAGACCTCCAGGAACCCCTACCAGCTGCCGTCCTTGTCTTCCTCATCTGGACAAACTCTGGGTCACGCTTCTGACGTTCTGCCTTCTCTGGGCCTTTCCCACCACCAGGGTACTTTCCCACATTCAAAAGGGGACAAGATGGACACTAATGGGCACAGTTCAGCAGGTGGGACCCAGTCTAATGAGTACCAGGACACTTTTGAAATGCTGAACTCACTGCTGAGCGCGCAAGGTGTCCAGCCATCGCAGCCATCCATGTTTGAATACAGATCCCAGTACGGGGACCACCGGTTCTCCAGTGGCTCTAGAGGGAACAATCCCAGACCTCCACCCCTGCCTTCAGAACCGCCTCCCCCTCTTCCACCACTACCCAAATGAGTGTCTGATCAGGAGGCCATTTTTATGTAGATTTTACTTGAAATCACATGCATTCATTTTTGTCATGTAAAGTGTTGTAAAGAAAAAAACAAAACAAACATAAGTTTAGCTTTTTTTATTATATTCACCCAACATGTATATTTTTTTGTAAGTATCAGGGTGACAGCAGAGAAATGTAACAACACGTTTAGAGGTTTCTGGTTTTACATGCGGCAATAATGAATTTAGGAGCCTTGCAAAAATGTAAAGAACAAAAAAATGTGTATTCTTTTCCTTCTGCTCAATTCCAAGGAAATATGATGATGGGATTTATGTTGATGAAATTGAAACTGCCAGCGGATATATTTTAGCCCTTTTTTGTACCGTTTTTTTACAGTGTTATTTATTGAGTGCTTTTTAAAGAAAAACGTCGAACTTAAGGTTCCTTCCTTCCTTTTTCTGTATGCAAAGGGAGAGATGTTTTCATCAAGACTGTACAGGCAAGTTAGACAGTGCATGTCAGCAAAGCCATGTTTTTAAATTTCATTTTTTTAAAAGATTTTTAACCTGCCTCTATATCTAAGAGCTCCTTTATTTGGGTTACTTGTATGAAGATTGTATTGTGGAATCCTTTTTCTATTATTTTCATCCTAAAAATGATAAAAAAGAGATGTAATGAAGCTTGTACTGTTTAGTTTTTAAGTGTTGCAGTCATTGTTTTAAATGGTTGTAAAATGTTCATATTCAGTTATTTGTTAAATACACTAGCTTCATACACTGAACAGACACATCTTTCAAAGGTTTAATCATATCTACCCAGTCACAGTCATGAAGGACAGACATGTATTGTCATCTTTGATGGTTATTAGGATGTTTCAATGTATAATCCCTTGCGTTAACACTGTTCTGTTTCAATCGTATTGCAATTGTCTGATTGCTTCTGACATACAGATATTAATCCAAGGCTTGATTATTTTTATTATTTTTTTTTATCTATCCAAAAATGACCACTCTTAAAAAACAAAAAACGTTGCACGTCCTCTAAAACTATCTTAGATGAGCATACCTCCATCCCACGGCCTTGAACATGCAGTCCCAAGGAGAATTTAAATTGAATTCTTAAGCAAAATGGCAGATTTTTTTATTTATTTATTGGCTGTATATTTTATTCACAAAGATTTATGTGGGTATTTGTCATATAAACAAACTTGAATCTGCCTCCTATCAGTTTATGTAAAATAATGTTTATGGTGATGCAGTACAACAAATCAGCCATGTAAATTAATTGATTCCCCTCATAAATTATAAATGTACTGGAAAAGAGGCTTTTAGTTCTAACAGAAATGGTGAATGCACTGAATATTTATATTTGTGGGGGAACCTACAATGAAATTAAAGTGTTACATGTATAGTGGCGAAACTACTAGTTTATTTCCAATATATTGTCATTTAAAAAAGAATTGGGACAACTGTTTCAGTTTAAGTATTAACATGCTGTGAGAAAGACTCATTTTATATTTCATATAGGGTGAATGGAAGACACTCATGCAACCTAACAATGCAAAAAATTACAATAGCCTACGTTTCTTGTTTAATTTCTTGGTGTTTTTATGGACACTCAGGTCGGGAAATAAAATCATTGGATTTTTTTCATTAAGTTATATGTGAACAATGTTTTTGATAAAATGTGGTTGCTTTATTCCGGAAGTCAATAAATATTTTAATGAACGTGCTTGACTTTTTTGTGGGGAGAAGAAAGTGAGTTGGCAACAATTTAAGTGGCAGTTGAATGAGCCAATGAGAACCTTGATGCGTTTTTTTTATTCTGGCCAATTGGCGCCCAGATTGGGCGAGGCTACACAGAGGCAGTCGTAAAGATCTGGGAATTCGGTTCATTGTACTTCGGGACTCGTCGTCGGCGCCATCGTTATTGGAAGGTAAGCAGTTTTAAAGTTACAAAGAAGGCTCTGCCTACAGCACAGGTTCTATATGCGTTTTACGATTCAACCCCCAGGGTGTAATTGTTTGGCCGTAGTTGAAAGGGCAGTTGTTTTTGCTTCGAAGCTATCAAAATGTAGCAGTTAGCCACGATGCTAAAAGCCAGACAAAGATGGCGACTCTTCAACCGAAACGGTGACGCTGTAAGGAGGCGGATTAAAGCCTGTAGCGCGCGTATTTGGATTCCTGAAACGGCACTTTAATTTTTTATCACGATAAATGTCTTTAATATTTTATTTTCTTCAAATAATAGACCAATTAAGGTCACTTTTATATAATAAAGATACGAATGGGAAATGGTTCCGCTTTAGAATTAACTGGGTCTACAACTGAGAATAACTGCGGGTAAAAACGACTTCTAACTGGCTATTTTTACGAAATGACTAACGTATTTCGAAATATGTTCGATTTAAATATATTTCCAGCCAAATATTGGCCCTAATCAGTTGTGTTTGAGCCTATGTATGGCGCATACCAGTTTGCTGAAGGTCTGTATTTGGAGGTCCGCGGATTACAGCAGTCCCACAGCCCAGCAAACACATGGCGACAAGGAAAAATGGACTGGAGGTTGTGGTGTTTAGCGCTCATTAAGAAAATGGGGGTGATCACAACCGACACAATTTTCTGTAGATTTTATTTTACTGACTTCATAATATGTCCAAGTAGGGCTGGACGATATAGAAAAAAAGCTTATCGAAAAAAAATGCATATTGATCGATATCGATAATTATTGAAAAGATTTGAAACCATATTTTATGCGCAGCTCTGCCTGGACTTTTTATGATATTGCTAAATGATTTAATTTTAATAAAGAACACAAACACAGACTTCCAATTAAATAATTATTTAACAAACTTTTTTAACCATAACAGAATTGTTTTAAAGCTAGTGTGTAATAATTACAGGGATATACAGTCAGAAATTTAATATATTATACATAACTGTTATTTATCATCATCTATGAGCTCAGCCTCTTGACCTTAATATTTGCGTTGCCTTAGAATTCGTTATTTATAATTACATAGGAGCGGGTCTCGCAGCCATGGAGGCAGACATCTTTGCGCTACGGCAGCGCAGAGCCAACAAACTAGCGATTGCGAGATCGCCTATTACGCTCGAAAGTAACTACGGCAAGTTGAGAGAGATGAACTGAGACGGTACTGAACAATATACCCTACACAGACTAATAAAATACTATCTGTAGAATTATCTATGTAAACAAACCTCATCACTTGAGAAGGTAGGTGATGCGGACGTCGTGGAAGACATTTTGTCCCGTAACACTCGCCGTACTGTTGGGGGGGAGATGTTCATGTTGCTGCAGTCTGGACGTTAGATGTCGCTGAAAATTACACACTGTAGCTTTAAAGAAAAATAACTTAAGAGACCTGAGTTATGTTATTAAATACTGATAAAGAATAAACTAAAGTGACCAGAAAAGTGACCAAAATAAATATAACAAATACATAAATAGCCTATTTGGGTGGGAATAGTACACCACCAGCTTGTGGTAATTAAAAGATTGTAGGACTAGGCTACCATGTAAACTCCACTCAACAAGAACAAAAACCCAAATCAACTCACCCTTTAGCCTAACATTTCTATGGGGTATTTTTTCTCACCCCTATTCTTCTAGAGGTGCTGCTGGCACCTCGTTACGGTTCAGCTTAGTTTCCTGCTTTAACCTGAGTTATTACTTTGAAGTTGATGGCACCTCAGCATTTTTCTCTGGATTGTTAGAACTATGTGGGAAAAGGTGGGAATGGTGCCTGCTGCTCTTATAAATAGTGGTGTTTCAATGCTGTTGTCAGAGATGGCTGTGATCACCGCGCAAGTCAGTGAGCTCATCAGGAGTCTGCGGAAGAAAGGCTGGACGACTTCGTCCATCGCCAAACATCTGGAGACGAGTGGGATTGAAGCTTCATTGGGCACTATTCGACGTCATTGCCGAGGTTCTCCTGTGAAGAAGCAAATCAGAAAGCCACGAAAACTGACCAGTCAGGTGTTGGAAATAATTGACACGATCCTGAGACAAGATGACACGCTGCCGGCAAGGAAAGTGAGATCGCTTCTACAACGAAGGCACAACATTACGATAGGGTTATGCACAATGAGAAAGGCCCTGAAGGAACTTGGCTGGAGTTTTGGGAAGCCCAGATTTACTCCAATGACCCAGGAAAAAAAAAAAGAACTGGAAATTCTTCTGGCCGAGAGATCAGCGCAGTTGGCCGAGAGATCAGCGCAGCTGACTCAGAAAACAATACAGCTTGCAGCAGTGTCTGAGCGAGTAGCCGAGAGGGATGCCGCGATTGTCCGTTTGAAAGAGGAGAACGAAAAGCTCAAACAGGACATTGAAGGCCTCAGAACGACCAGCCACTTGGGTAACCACAGAGGGGGACTGGACATTTTACAGGAGGTGAGAGCTGGGATTGGAGAAATTCAGGCGACTTTACGTGAACAGTCAAGGGATTTCACACCTGAGAGACCAATGCCCAGATGCACATCGACACTTGTAAAAGAGTCGTCCACCTTGCAGATGTCAGAAGTTCCTAGTCAACACGCAGATGTGACTTTGCGTGATGTTACCCCCGAAGACCTCGCTAGGATACACAACCAGAGCTACGGCCAGGTGGGCAGATACGGATGCCTGCTCTTCAGGTCCATCATCACAGAGGAACATTACATGGCCTGGAGCAAAACCACCAACTGGGATGGGGTGAAGGGAAAGCGAGCGCTGCCGCAAAATGTCAGAGACTTTGTGGTTTCAACACTGCAGCAAAAGTTTCCTGATATGGGAAAGAGTGACATGAAGGACTGCATTGATAAGATCAACGAATTTCTCCGCACAACACGCAAATCATCCCAACGACTTTTAATGTAAACCTGTTCAGCATTCATCACAATAAACACATTTTCTCTCATGCACTTTGTCCACTTTGTATTGTTTTAAAGCCTAATCTGAAATATAGAAATATAGCTATTGTAGGACTGTAGTTACCATCTCCATCAGGCACAGCCTTATGAATTCATTAAAATGCAGGCCTGGTGTTTGTCACCACGCAGTGCACAGTAACGATGAAATTAGCGAAATGTTTCACAGCAGTTTACCTTATAATTTACTTTTTGTTAAATATTCAAATATTTAGACTTTAAACTAGCAGACAGGTTTTACAGCCTAATCAATAGAAAAATAACGACAAATGACTTCAGCAAGTTATTCAGATGTGACACGGTTGTTTTACACACAATTTACGTGTTTCCCGGATTCAGTTGAGAGGGTCTTAGTGCTAAAATCTTCTTAAGTACATTCTTTTGGCTTCTTCCTGTGTTTTGAAGAAAAATTACCTTTCTCTTAAAAAAAAAAAAAAAACAGAAGGGGACAATTGGCCTGGTCACACGGTTACATAACAATTAAATATAGAAATATAGCTATTGTAGGACTGTAGTTAACATCTTCATCAGGCACAGCCTGATGAATTCATTAAAATGCAGGCCTGGTGTTTGTCACTATGCAGGGCACAGTAACGATCACCTTAGCATTCAGAGTTGACGCGGTTGTTTAACAGACAGTTTACTCTCTTGTTCTCTGACAATAGCATTCAAGCACCACTATTTACAGTAATAGCGACATTCCTGCATTAAGTGGTTTGCTTAATTAATTGGCCGAGTAGGGTAATCTCTTGCATTTGATAAAACTTCTGTTAAAATCAGACAAACCAGAACAAGAGCAAGGAGGAGCACACATGAGCTGATCTAAATAAAAGAAAGAATAAATTACGTGAAGATTAATAAGTTACGTGTCAAACAGCATAATAGGCTAGTATCTGTAAAATATATAAATAAGTTAAATAAGTTATTGTACAATTTTTGATATCATAGGCCATCAAGTGATTAAAAAAAATAGAAAAACATTTAAGGCAACAATAACCAATTCAGCCACAGCTGGGACTGAACCCTCAACCTTTTGCACTGCAAAATCTGGCAAATCTCTACGTTTTAACCAGTCAGTGAGTTATGGATGTTTTAAAATGTTGGATGGGTGGACAATTGGTCCGAAATTGGAGTCCAATCGCAGCTCAAGTAGGACATTACAAGGAAAGGAGACTTATGTCCTCTGAAAGCCACTGCTGTTTTCACCTCAAAGGAGCTTTTCATTGGACTAACTATGCGGTTTGTTGGCTATATCAGCAGGTTAATAACAAGTACTGTATTATGATATTAAAATAGGTATTTATTTAAATTTTATTATCATGTTTAATCAGACCTCAAATTTTATATTTAGTTAAGAGTGAGATCGTTAATTTTCAGAGGCGCGGATGACTTGACCCTCGAAGAGAAATCTTTTTCTCCTGACTTCTATAAGAAAATCAAAGTCAGGATTTTCTCTGACTGACAGCCCTGTGGCTGCAAGGCTATCAGTCAGAGCTGCAGCACTGGGGCCTCCAGGGCACCGTCCTGTCTCCATTTCTCTTCACCCTCTACACCTTCACCTTGTGGGCTGTGTGTCTGAGGGGAATCAGCTGGAGTACCAGTCAGTCATCATAGACTTTGTGGACTGTTGTGAGAAAAAACACCTGTGTTTAAACCCCAGTTAGACCAAGGCGATGGTGATCGACTTCAGGAGACGACCCCCGTGTGAACATTCAGGGGCAGGACATAGAAACTGTGGAGAGTTTGAAATACCTGGGTGTTCACGTCAATAAGAAAGCTGACTGGACACATAACACCAT